CCAATCAATGCAGGGAGCGTGACGAAACAAGTGGAGTTCTGGGTATTAAAGGTCCCCTCCACTTATAACATCATCTTGGGCAGAACATGGCTGCATGCCATGCGATCGGTGGTGTCATCCTACCACCAAGTAATGCGGTTCCCCAACGATACCGGTGTAATTGAAGAAGTCTATGGAGATCAGATTATGTCCAAGCATTGCTTTATCACGATGAATGGCAGCCGCGCTGCCAAAGGATACGTTCATTCGGTGGAAGAACCTGAGAGCAATGAGTTGTTCGCAGATGTAGGCAAAGCAGCTAATCAGAAAGCGGTGGAAGACTTGGTAGAGGTAAGAATAGATGAAAAGAACCCGGATAAGTTCTTTTTGCTCGGTTCATCGTTGTCCAGCACTGAGAGATTAGAGGTCTTGGAATTTTTAACCTCTAATATCGAAGTGTTTGCCTGGACACCATACGACATGCCAGGCATTGATCCCAACTTCATCTGTCACCAACTCAATGTCCACCCATCCGCCAGACCAATCATTCAACGCACCCGTAGATCGGCACTCCACCATGCCGAGATAGTGGCAGTAGATGTTTATAATATAAACATGACATCGTGCACTACCCAAGATGGATCTCCAACACAGTCGTAGTGCCAAAAAAGAATGGCAAATGGCGTGTCTGCGTCGACTATAAAACAGTCAGCAAGGCATGCCCAAAAGATAGCTTTCCTCTACCACGGATAGATCAACTGGTCGACCTAACGGCAGGGCACAACCGACTTAGCTTTCTGGATGCATACAGAGGCTACCATCAAATCGCCATGCATGAACCAGACCAGGAGGTCACATCTTTTACAACTCCAAGAGGACTATACTGTTACAAGGTCATGCCCTTTGGCCTAAAGAACGCAGGGGCAACATTCCAACGGATGGTCACCAAGATGTTTGAACCATTGTTAGGCAGAACAATGGAGGCTTACATTGACGACATGGTGGTTAAGAGCAAGGATGAGAATGACCATCTCAAGGACCTAGGCGAGATGTTTGAGATCCTGAAGAAGCATACGTTGCGTCTCAATGCATCCAAGTGTGCATTCGGAGTAGGATATGGCAAATTCCTGGGCTTCCTTGTGACCAACCGGGGTATAGAAGCAGACCCCTCCCAGATCAAAGCAATCCAGGATTCGGAGAGACCAAACTCAGTAAAAGAAGTGCAGCATCTCACCGGCATGGCAGCTGAGCTCAATCGGTTCATAAGCTGGTCATCGGACAGACTACGACCATTCTTCCATGCACTAAAAGCCAAGTTCGAATGGGACGAAGAATGCGACCAAGCTCTGGAAAGCTTGAAAGAATACATGTCTTTTCCACCATTGCTGGTCACCCCAATACCTGGAGAATAACTCTTCCTGTACCTAGCAGTTTCTCAGCACGCCATTAGCGCAGTGTTGGTCCGTGCGGAAGGAATTCATCGTCTGCCTATCTATTATGTCAGCAAGACATTGCTGGGAGCCGAAACAAGGTATTTGCCACTGGAAGAACTGGCATTGGCCTTGATGATGGCCTCAAGGAAGTTGTCGCACTACTTTCACGCCCACACCATAGTTGTCATCACAGCTTTCCCATTAAAAGCTCTGTTTGAGAGGGCAAACTATTCTGGGTGAATCTTGAAATGGGCAGTTGAGTTGGGACAATTCGACATCAAGTTCCAACCCAGAACCGCGATAAAGGCCCAAGCTTTGGCAAACTTTGTCGCAGAATTCACCCCAGGAAGTCATCATATCTGCCCAGTCAACCTGACTGATACAACCAAACCAGGAATAGAAATTGACGCCGGAATAGCGCAACCCCTGGTACAGGATATTCAGTCAGACCCCATGGCAGACCAAAGTAAAGAAAGCAAGGAAGAAGCAAACCATGCTACACCAAGCCAAGACTCACCGACAAATAAAGACAAGGTACAATCAGATAGCGAGGGGCAGACAGCAAGCATGGACCTTGAAGAAAACACCGGCAACATTCTTGACCCCACAACATCATTTGACCCCTCCACTTGCTGGAAGTTGTTCGTTGCTGAGATGTGGAAGCTCTTTGTAGATGGAGCATCCAACCGGCATGGTGCATGACTTGGCATAGTCCTCATCTCACCAGACGGCCTAGTTGTGGAGCAAGCAATCAACCTTGGCTTCCCAGCATCAAACAACGAAGCGGAGTATGAAGCACTTCTTGCAGGACTCAAATAAGCGTTCTACATGAAGGCCACCGAATTAATGGTCTACAGTGACTCACAGCTGGTAGTAAACCAAATTTCTGGCGACTATGAAGCAAAGGATGACAGGATGGCCAAGTACGAAGAATTAGTCAGAACAAAGATCAAGAAATTTGAAGTAATAAGGATAGAACATATTGGCAGGGAGGAAAACAGCAGAGCAGACGAACTAGCAGGCTTTGCGTCAATGGCAGATACATCTATCCCTCACCCACTACTAATTGACTACCTACCAAGACCAAGCATTGAAGACCCCGAAGTAGAAGAGGTATGTTGCGCCGAATTAGGCCCCTCATGGATAGATCCCATTATATTGTTCTTAAAAGACGGCATCTTACCGGAAAACAAAAAAGAAGCCAACAAAATTATAGCAAAGTCGCAACGATTTTGGCTCTCCCCATCTATGGCATTGTACAAAAAGTTATTCTTAGGACCTTACCTAAAGTGTGTCCACCCCAGTAAAGTAGAAGCGTTCTTGTTCAAAATACATGAAGGGGTGTGCGGAAGCCACCAAGGAGGAAGATCGTTAGCTTACAAAGCCATTTCGCAAGGATACTGGTGGCCATACATACAAGCAGACTCAGAGAAGTATGTGAAGAAGTGCGAGAAATGTCAGAAGTTCGCACATCAAATACATCAACCGGCCAGAGAACTCCTACCACTAACCAGCCCATGGCCCTTTGCAATGTGGGGCTTGGACATAGTAGGACCACTTCCAACAGCGCCCGGAAACAGGAAGTTCTTTCTCGCAGCAACAGATTACTTCACAAAGTGGGTGGAGGCAGAAGCACTGGCATCAATCAAGGAAAAAGATGTGAAGAAGTTCTTCTGGCAGAATATCATTACTCGATTCGGCATACCTAAAGCCCTAATATCAGACAACGGCACCCAGTTTGATGGCAGAATCTTTAGAGGCTTTTGCGAAGAATACAAGATAGAATTCTACAATTCCACACCAGCATATCCTCAAGCAAATGGCCAAGTGGAAGCATCAAACAAGGTTGTCTTGGATGGACTGAAGAAAAGGTTAGAGAAGGCAAAAGGCAAGTGGGCGGAGGAACTTTCTCATGTTTTATGGGCTTACCGCACCACACCTTGACGATCAATAGGAGAAACACCACTCTCCTTAGCCTACGGCATGGAAGCAGTAATCCCACTGGAAGTTGGCCTCCCCACAATTAGAAGCGAAAATTTTGATCCAGACTTCAATGGAGAAGCCATAGCATTGGAACTCGACCTCGCCGAAGAAAGAAGAGAAAGAGCACTAGTCCACATTGCCTCATATCAACAAGAGTTATCCAGAAAATACAACAAAACAGTGCATCCAAGGCAATTCAAGATCGGAGATTGGGTGCTGCGCAAAGTGATGGGAAACACCCAGGTGCCAGGAGATGGCAAGCTAGGGCCTAATTGGGAAGGTCCTTACAAAGTGGTTGGGTTAGCAGGCAAAAGGGCATACAACCTAGAAGACAAGGACGACAAAGCAATCCCTAGGCCATGGAACACTGCCAATCTCAAGTTATTTTATTTTTAGCTTTTCTCTTTCGAACATGTGTAATTTTTTCGTTCCTCAATAAAACAAGTCGATTCTTTTCAGCATAGTTGTTTTTTGTAAAAGTTAGTTTTAGTGAAGTTAGGAACATTGCAAACATTTTATTCTAAGCTGGCTGGAAAAACCAACTTAGAGGTTGGCTGGATTAAACCAACACCCTTCCTAAGCCCAGGATAAGGATCCAAGCCGCAGGACGTTTGGTCGGAATAACCAAACACTTTACTTTAGGTTGGCTGGAAAAACCAATCTAAAGGTTGGCTGGAAAAATCAACACCCTTCCTAAGCCCAGGATAAGGATCCAGGCTGCACGACGTTTGGTCGGAATAACCAAACACTTTACTTTAGGTTGGCTGGAAAAACCAATCTAGTGGTTGGCTGGATTAAAACCAACTCTAAGTACTCTTTAGCCGAAGTAAGGACATCGGCTAAAGAATGGTTGGCTGGATTAAACCAATTCTTGGTACTCTTTAGCCGAAATAAGGACATCGGCTAAAAGAGTGGTTGGCTGGATTAAACCAACTCTAAGTACTCTTTAGCCGATGTAAGGACATCGGCTAAAGAGTGGTTGGTTGGATTAAACCAACTCTTGGTACTCTTTAGCCGAAATAAGGACATCGGCTAAAAGAGTGGTTGGCTGGATTAAACCAACTCTACGTACTCTTTAACGAAGTAAGGACATCGGCTAAAAAGTGGTTGGCTGGATTAAACCAACTCTTGGTACTCTTTAGCCGAAGTGAGGACATCGGCTAAAGAGTGGTTGGCTGGATTAAACCAACTCTAAGTACTCTTTAGCCGAAGTAAGGACATCGGCTAAAGAGTGGTTGGCTGGATTAAACCAGCTCTTGGTACTCTCTAGCTGAAGTGAGGACATCGGCTAAAGAGTGGTTGGCTGAATTAAACCAACTCTTAGTACTCTTTAACCGAAGTAAGGACATCGGCTAAAAGAGTGGTTGGCTAGTAAGCTCAGTCAGATTGCTCAGCTAAGACCAGAATAATGTATCTCGGCCGAAAAATATTATGTTTCGTTCAAGTTGCAGTTAGAAAGCAAGCACAAACAGGAAAGCAAACCGGAATAACAGTTAGCGCAAAAGAAGATGATTCTCATTAATCAAGTTCAAAGCGATTACAAGGGAGGGGCTCCTAGCCCGGTTACAAGTCGAAGCAAAAAGAAGAAAAAGAAAAAGTACAGAATCAATTAAAAAGGTCTTCAAGATCGGCTTCAATATCAACTTGAACACCGGTTGCAGATGGAAGATCAGTCTCAGTAGCAACTGGCAGCACGGTGTCAGTCGGTGGCTCAACAGTTAGGTCTTCAACCGTTGGCTCCAACCGAGCTGATTGATCGTTGCCTTGCTCGTTGACTACCGGAGTAATAGTTGGCTCATTTTCTTCATCTTCATCATCTGAACCCTGCAAAAATTGTTGTTGGACAGAAGCAGCATACTCTGCTAGTGAGGCCGAAATGAAATACTGAGGAGCATTGCAGACCTCGGTTTCGGGCCCACAGCTGAGCTGCTCCACAGCACTTCTCCAGCCGCACTTGAAAAATAATTCTTTCGCTCCCTCACATTGTGGAATGTAGAGGCCCTTCACCTCCTTGAAACCTTCGGCATTGGCACCATCCACCTTCTTCTTCAGTTCAGCGATTTCGGCGTCCTTTTTCCCTTCAAGCTTGACTAGCTCACGAAGGTACTTGTCTTTCATCATGGTCAATGCCTTCTGTTTGTCAGCTTCAGCCGAGGTAACTAGTTCGGATAGACGAGCTACCTCAGCCACTAGCTCGGTCGTTTTTTGTCGTGATTCCTTCAGTTCGGTTGTTCTTTCTTCCACCTCTGTCATGGCCTGCCTAGCCGTTTTCCTGAGCTCCAATACCTTTTGATGGGCAATTTGGCTCTTCTGAAGAGACTGAAATGAATGGAAATAAATGAAATGACAAAACCGAACTGAAAGTTTCAAAAATTTGAGAGACAAGAGGGGCATCTTACCAGGATCATGGATTTGGTGGCCGATCGGATAGCCCTTAGCTCGGTCAGGTTCTGGTGGTGTTCCATGTCTGCTGGAAGACAAACACTCTTGGCAAGGTTGAATGCCATCAAGTGATCCTTCTCAGCAACCACCGAATTGGTATCTTGGATATCTCGGTTCTGAAATTTCAGCTTTGGTGCCCACTTGGAAGAGCTAGCCCGGTCAGAACGCTCCGGTTGTGGAATCGGTGGGTGGCTCGGTGGAGGGGTGGTTTCGTCCTCATCCGCTAGACGCTGCTCGGTTGGGGTAGACCGGGCGTGCTTGGATGGGCGTGATGAAGAAGGCTGTTGAGAAAGAAGGACCACAACGGCCTGTTGCGTTTGGCTTGGTGGCGGTACTTCAGGTCTGTTGGTTTTGGTCAATAGGGCCCTGACTTTGTTTTTCTTGGCCATTTCTTGTTCGGCTGTAAGAGGGACCAGGATAATTTGGGGCAAAGTTGGGTCCGGTTCTGGGGCATCCTCAAGCAGAAAGTCTGTTACTCTAGCTTTTCGACGACCGCTGTAACAGTATGTCGGCTCAAAATTAAGAAGTTTGGCCCAACTTCTTTCTGGAAAACGTAGTGCGGCGCGAAGTATGTTCAGGTTGGGGTAACTATACAAAGATTGAAGATGGGTTGAATCTGCATAATGAAAACAACTGTTAGTTCGGTTCAAGAGCAGGTAAGCTAAATTAAGAGAAGCATGAAAAGTGACCGAAGTAAAGTAGATTCCTTTATTCCAATTTATACTTCGGCCCGGGATCTGGGCTTGGTGGTCTTCAAAATTTCCAGATACCCAGAAAAAATCGTCATCGTTCAAGTCTTTATCCGGCGTATATTTTATTATTGTTTCTCTGCGACGGCGTATCCTAAGGTAGTAGACCCAGCCGTCATCTTTGGAGCCAATGGAGTATTGGTGGAATATTTCTGCTAGATCGAGGTTAAGACCAGCTCGGCGGTTTAGTTCGGCCATTCCCATTATTATACGGTAAGAATTGGTGGAAAGCTGAGTTGGGCATATTCTGGTTTGTCTTAGGAATTCACAAATCAAGGGTTGAACGGGGAATCTTAGTCCGGTTTCTATTATTGATAGGAAGGTGAAAGGTACATAGCCCTCCTTTCCCCATGGAACGATATCTTGTTCGGCCAGAATGAGTTGGACGTCATCAGGGATGTTGTAATCCCTTCGGAATTCGGCCAGGCCACCAGGGGTTTCTACCAAAAACCTATACTTCCCCATTTATTTTTTAAGTTATGGATAAGTTAGTTCGGTCGCAAAATTGTGCTCAGTAGCTCGGTTGAGCGCGCAGTGGAGTGCCTGGGAAACCTAAGTCTGCAAAGTGGAAAACAAAGGGGTTAAGCACAGATCATTGGACCGTGCTACAAAATAAAAGCAAGAATAGGAGTCCTACTTCGGATATGTGGGATGCTACAGGTTCTGTCTCGGTTTCAACAAGATGCTTGGTAGCTCGGATTGAGCAGGGGGTTCGATAGCTCGGTCTTGGCAAGCGATTCGTTATCTCGGTTAAAGAGAAGGCTCTGTTAGACCAGTTGAGCCTCTAGGGGCAGCTTTCTGAGTTTGGTCTAAAAACTTAGAAAGCTGGCTTAGCCCCAAAGACCTAGCTCAGTCGAAAATTAAGGTTTCCCAGTATGCTAAGTGCAGACTTAATTCGGTTGGATACCTCAGCTAAGGTCTATCAAGAAGTGGTTTGACTTATTGAAACTACTGGTACCAACATGGAGTGCTAGTTCGGTTAAGTAGTCTGATAGAATGACATCGACTACAAACTACTTTTTAGTTCGGTTATATGGTAATTATGGATCAAACTAAGTGTTCTGCAGACTGCTTCATGAAGTTCATGGGGTTCTTATGAAGTTTTTCCCAGAAAACGCAAGGTAGAGCAAGAAAATATGTTTTGCAAAAACAGAAACAGTGTACCAAGAGTGAAAGAAAGCAAATGCAAAGACCACAAAAGCAAAACAGGTTTGAAAAACTTACCAGGTAAAGAGAAGGAAATGGAAGTAGAAAATAGCAGCGAGCACGAGCTTCACAGTTGCAAAGGATGGAGAACAATGGAGGCAAAAGGAGAGAAGAAAGAGTGAATGGTGTAAGTGATTCAGAAACAAAGAGTTGTTTTGTGGAAAGAGAAAGGGCAAAAGGCGGGAACTGTTCAAATTTTGCGGAGTACGAGGGCGGCGCGACAGCTGCAGTAAGCCAATACCAACATGCCACGTGTCATAGGGATAAGAATCGATTCAGTTTCTGTGATTGAAGGGGCGTTGTGACCGGATAAGCACAACTCGGCTTAAGCTTAGCTCGGCTGGGAGGGTTAAAAGTATATAGCTTGGCTTTAAAGGCTTCAGAGTTTTAGCTCGGCTGGAAAGACTAAAGGATTTTTTAGCTCGGCTGAAAAGGTAAAACTTTAGCCCGGTTTATAGACAGGTAATCCCTATCATGCTACGCAGATGGAATTAAGGGGCAATTGAGAGGGTAATTTATATACGAATTGGGCCGAGCTGGGCCTTTATGGGCCTCAGTACGAAGGGCTAAATAAAGAGGTCATAAGGTTACTCCGGTCTTGAAGAGGCTTAAAGTTAGCCCGGTCTCAAGCCCAGAAGGTAGACCGGTCCGAGGGACTCTTGATGTTAGTCCGATCGAAGGACACTTTGTAGTTAGACCGGTTTAAGGATGCTTTAAACTTACACCGGTCATGGCGCAGTGAAACAAGGTTGGTCTAAACCTTGGTAAAAGATAGTTCGGTTTTGGGCATACATGGTTTGTTGAAAACTATGGACAGAGAACCGAACTAGGTATGGTTCCGCTAAGCATAGTCGTGATTACTTCGGTCGTATGGTAGGTCGGCCATGGAAGAACCATCTCACTTGGTTTAAGCAGTGAGGGGGGGTTGAAGGATAAGCATTATCCTTCAAGAGTATGAATCCTAGGAGGACTCTGCATGGAGGAGTAAAAGTCCTACTAGGATTGTGCCACGCAAAACCTATAAAAGCTCACAAACATCACCTATGGAAAGGTAACACAACTTTGATTCTTGAATTCACAGAGCTTCTTGTCTACTTGTCTGTTTTTCTGACTTAGGCATCGGAGGGGTTTCCGGCACACACCCGCCGGCTAGCTCACGTTTGTGTTTTCAGGGAGTAAAGCGACGTCGTACGGAGGAGCGCAGACTTGATCAACAGGATTATACGAGAAGGTTTATTTCTTTCTCGTACAAGTTGTTGCTATTGTTAGTACAGTAAAATAGCTCTTCCCTACTCACCACTTTCTTACTTATGTGAGAGCTATATATAGATTTTTCAGGGATATTTACATGGAAAAGAAAAAAAAAAAAAAAAAAAAAAAAAAAAAAAAAAAAAAAAAAAAAAAAAAAAAAAAAAAGAAAAGAAAGAAAGAAAGAAAGAAAAAAGGGAAAACAAATATCCAAGGTCATTTATGGATACTATTTGCTGATCAAAAAAATACATGGGTACCTAATTTCTGTCTATACTTGAATCTTGTAGCAACCAAAAGAATCACTTCTGGAGTTTGAGTTCATGTCATAAATTTGGTTTTTTTTTTTTATGTATCTGCCTCCTAGATCTATTATTAAGGACCTCTGGCTTCGGCAGTAGAAATTTATGATTCAAGGCTGCTACTCTTTTTCTTTATTTTTTCCAGCTCCTGATTGAATTTCCATTTATATTTGAAATTTGAAATGGTGCCTTTGCTCTTCAAAGCTGGCTTCTCATGTGCAGTCATAAATACAAAATTTGTCCTTGAATTTCCTTTTATTGTGTATTCCTCTATAATAGTCTTGTAAATTTTCTGCACACGTTGTGATTATGAAATTACTCGGCAACTTTGATAGTCTTGTATTTTTACCAAGTCATGTTATGGATATATTGCTCATGTGATCTGTATTGTGGGTTGAGGATATTAGTTCTAATATTGTGTGTTGTAAATTATTGTTCGAGTGTTGTGAGCCAATATATTGTGGGTTGAGTGGGGACTATTTTTCTGGGCGGATTGCAGCTGGTCTCAGGTGCTGAATGCCTTGATAGCAATCTATAAATATTTTGTTTGTTATGGTGTCCACTACAGAGCTAGTTTTTTTGAGCCTACCCTTGCAGGTTGTGCAAGGGAATACATATATTTTTGCTACGGCTCTGTCGCTACCGTTGACTGTGTTCATGGTCCGCATAATCCAATTATGAGGCCCCTAAACAGGTTCTGGTTTAGTGAGCTGCCCCAAATCCTTGATTACATATGGTCTTATTGAGGGAAGAAATGGAAAATAATGTGTTTGTGCCTCTTCTTTTAGGGATATTTGTTTACCTCTTTGGACATATTTGTATGATTTGTGGATAGGTTTTTTTTTTTTTAAAGAGAATTTTATTGAGGGAAGAAATGAAAAATAATGCATGAATGTTGAGATTTTTGCAAATATGTCTTTACGTTTATTGTATATAATATTTGAATATATATATGATTGTAGGTATTTTTATTTTTTTTTTTTTTTTTCGACGGTAAGAAGATGGTCGCTAATACATTGTAGGCCTTTTTTAAACTCTTTTGCGATGGCAAAATATCAGTCGCTATAAGTAGGTTAGACGGTCACAAATAGTTTGCGACTGTTATTTTGCGGTCGCAAAAAGTATTTGCCACCCCCACATTCGCGACCCTCATTTGTCGTCGCATGGGCCGTCGCAAAAAGTCTTTTGTGACTGTTTTTTTATTATTTGCGACGGCTTGTAACGGTCGCAAAAAGTACTTTTTTTAGTAGTGTGCTTAACTTACGAACCCATATTTATATATAGAAAGAAGTTTTCTCTCGTCCAACAGGAAGTTTAACAACACATATCACACAGTGACACAACCTTGAGCTTTAAATTAATGAACACTCAAACCCAATTATATATTAATTAATTAAGCCCAAGAAAGAGATCCATCATGAGAATTAGAGAAGCCCTAAACGGGCTCATCTCTATTTTGTCACAGTTATATATACATATATGTATGACCAGTTAACAGTTCCCTAGAAGTGGATCTAATTAGTAGTAAACAATTGTGATGGGCATAGCCCAAAAGGGCCCAACCCATGGTTACCTAGGCTGCCCAAATAATTACTTGGTTAGTTATCATTATAGAGCCCAGCAAATAAGGCCCAACAGCAAGTCTTGCAGAGAACAGAGAACCCATAGTGATTCAAACCCGGTTACAGCTAGACATGTGTCTAGTAAGGAATTAGCCACCTACCAGACAAAGATTTTGCAGAGTTATTGAGCCCACGCGCCAAGCATTAAATGAGACTGCTAAAGCATTAAATGCAATAAGACCTCTTGCTCTGGGATGTGATGAAACCACCATGGCAGACGGCAAATAGGTTGCAGGCTTTCGGTCAATGGGACAACATGAAT